ATCAGAGAAAATCTTTTGTAATCTTTTCTCCGATGCCTGATGAAGGGTATTTGTGCCTGAAACCTTCAATTAAAACTTTTTCTTTGCAAAAATCTTGTTGGTCTAATAAAAGATATCACCTCTACCATGAGCCCTGATTGCTTTTTTAAGTGAGGTATAAAGTTGTTTATGAAGTAACTTATATAGCATGCAGTTTGTATTTCATCTCAGCAAACTTTCATGCATTTTTTGCTGCTTTTTTGTAGAATTTTGGGGGATGGCAAAAATCACAACTTTTCCGATTATTTATGACGTGAATTTTTGGTTCTATTAGCAAACCATTAGCAAAACCCATAACATGGGCAAGAAATGTTCATGCCAAATGACCAGGAAAGAAAGAACATAAAAAAGACTCTTGATATGCTAGTTACTTACTGAAATGCTAAATAATTTAAATATCTGATTCAGGGATCTATAACAGGTGGCCTGTGAGTGGTTAAATTGTGGCCTGCAGGGTTTGTTAGTGCAGCTGACAGTGGGTGAACAATGCCACTCTCACCCCCCAACCCCTTGCTTGCTCACAACATTGTGATTTTTGGTTGCTGTTAGCAACTAAAATAGGCAGCAGGGAATAAGGGGGCTGGGGGTGAGTGGCAGCCAAGTTCACCCCCTGGGCTCTGGAGGTGTGCCAACACAGCAACTGCAGCAGCTGCACCTACAAGCTACCACTTCACTGCTGAAGATGCGTCATCTGGTCCAGAAGAAACCCTATGGTTTGGATCTAGCCCACTGGGACAAATGAGTTGGATACTTCTGATTTGATTCATTATTAATTCATTCATTGAACTTCTAGGCTTATGATTAATTAGTCAGTCATTGTCATATATTCCAGCCTTATGACTGATATCATGACTTAAAGTTCACATTGTTATTTTATTCTATTTGTTTCAGCAGTATGAGAAAATCTTGTTGAATTAAACCCTTTGGATGGAAGTACAGAACGTTTGCCAAATGGAGTGGCTTCTATTTTTTATTTGGCAAATTAAACTCTCTTAAAATAATATGTCCTTTAACAATGATTCATTTTCTCTAGATATTTTAAAATTTCTTTTATGCAGAAAGATTGTTCACTAAGAATTGTGTAATAGTGGAGTATAAGGCTGTTTAATAGCAAAATATTTATTAATTAGTAAGGAACAATTAGATTTTATACTTTTGGATAAAATTTAGCCAATTAGGACTCTTGGACCCAGTCTGCTTGTAATTTGATAGTAAGGTAGAAAGATCAGGTAGTTTGCAAGAAATAATTTAGTAAAAGCTCCACAGCCTTAAGATTATAACCTAAACACAGAAAACAAAACAAATACATTATTTTTGGAAGTTAATTCTCATTTATACTAAGGAAACATTATAACACAGTGGGAGTAAAATTATATATTATATATAAAATTACACTGTGGTGGAAAGATGCATCATCTCCCCTTTTAGGCTCTTTACATTGCTCGAATAGGATAAAGTGGATTTAGTGTACATGAGACAGGTCCCTATGGGCATATTTACTAGGGCTGTGCAAAGCTTCAGTCACTGATTCGATTTGGTGGAGATTTGGTCCAATTCAGAGACCCTTTAATTTCTCTTAATTGAATCAGAACACTCAAAATCAATTTGGAGAGATTCGGAAAGATTCGACAATTCGGACACAGTTTTAAATGTTTTTCCTACATACCTCAAGGTACCAGGCGGCTTGTGAATGCTGCATTGGTGGGATTGATGGAGCATCCCACAGGAGTGTGGGGCGGGGTTTGTCCCCCAGCGTGTTTGGCAGCAGACCGGGAAGTGGACCAGAAGCAGTTCTGGTCCACTTCTGGGTCCACCAGGGAACATGCTGGGGGGGGCCCCTAGCACCCCCCCAGCTTGGCGCCCACAGCATGCTCAGTGGCAGACCCAGAAGTCAACCAGAAATACTTCCAGTCCACTTCCGGGTTTGCAGCTGAGCATGCGGGGGACCCTACCTGCACTCCTATGGCACCCCACATCTGCCCCACCATCGCAGCATTCACAAGCTGTGCCTGGTACCTTGAGGTATGTAGAAAAAACATTTAAAGCTGTGTCTATGGCCGAATAGCTGATTCTCTGAATCAGCATTGAATCTTCAGATTCAGATTTGGCCGAATTTAATCGGGACAGTAATCCGAATCAACGAATCGAATCACTGTCCCTGATTTGGGCCGCATCTGAATCCAAATCCGAATCTGAATCAAATACAGCACGTTTCACACACCCCTAATATTTACATAGCCTCAGTACCATGACAGGAAGCACTACAATGAGGTGTGCTGTACTCACTCAGTTATATACTAACTCAAAAATGAAAGTAGTAAAGCTTCCTTAGTGTGGCATTGAGTGCACATCACTAAGCTCCCCTTTGGACTTCTGTTTGTGGATGGAGTTTATAGGGAGTAGACTCAATTTATCTCATTGTACCACTTCCTGATGCAGTACTGGGTGGTGCAGACAAACTCTGGGTCAGTTAAAAGGGCAAGCCGCCTCCTAAACAGAAAAGTAACCAATGAGTCTGCGTTCAAAAAGTCTATCTGTGGCCTGAGAAGTTCAGTTCAGGGTAACCTCCTGTGTGTTTATGCAGCTTCTCAGACACGTTTTGCAGCCAACATTTATTTATTTATTTATTAGATTTATATGTCACCCTCCCCTGAACACGTTCAGGGTGGCTTACAATAAAAAACATAAATTATAAAAACAGATGATTTTTTAAAAATGAGTAGTATGTAATAAACAGCAAAACCCTAATTTTCAGGGCACTGTTTTAACACCTCCTGCTAAAAGCCTGTCTGATTAGTCATTAGGACCTCCATGCTAGCACAGCTACTCTTCCAGCAGCCCCCGAACTTATTGTATGTTAAGTTCTACATGAGCTGCAATTGCTATCACTGTTATTCTCTATTTTCTGTTCAACTACCTAACAGGTTTCAATAAATGCTCCTTTTTATGAAGCTGCCTCTCATCAGATGCAAGCTTATTTAACTTGATCATGTCAATGTATTTCTCATTTTGCAGTCTTTCATACCCTCTTTTTTTGTCCTGTGTTGTAAACAAATCAATTATTCCACTAGATCTTGTTTTGGGATGTGTGCCAAGTACTTCAGCTTCTGTAATTTTCTTAATTGATTGGTTATGCAAAACATCTTGAAGGCAACAAGTCTGCACTTCAAACTAATTAGTAAAGATTATAAATATGCAGGTGGCAATCAACAAGTCATGTTGAGCAGAGTGCCACGAGTGGCACGGGCAGCTTCTGTGTGTGGCAGAAGGGGCAAGCAAGCAAGCAGACTGCAGGAACAGAACACCTGCAGCAGACTGGACAGGAACAGAAAATAGAGCAGCAGATCAGGCAGGGGAAGGGGATTGGAGTGGCACTGACAGAGGTCACAGAGAGTAATTTGGCATTTCTGAAAAAAAGATTGACCTCAAGTAGCCTAACTAACACTACCTTGATTTTTTTTGGGTCTGGCAGCAGAATAACTAACACTACCTTGATTTTTTTGGTTAGATTTCTCATGCAGCTAAAAACCAAAATACAAAACAAATTTAAAGGCTAAGTACAGATATGCAGGGGCATTAGTGGGATGTTAAATCGATTCAAAATGACTGCCCAATATCACGTAAGTCAGGATGGGGGACTTAGTGGGGGAGTTGGGGGTCTACTCGGGGATGGGAGGGAAGTATAAGGGGTGGGGGGCAGATGCAACCCATGGGTGGGGCTGGTGACCTATAGATGGGAGTGGGTGGGGCTAGTGCAACCGACGGGAGGGAGCAGGCATGA